CCAAATCAGGCAAATAAAAGGACTGGTATTGTCAACATGTAAAAATCCATCCAAATTTAAGTAGCTGAGGACCAAGCTTCTGGACACTTTTCAGTTACCCATTTTATTTTACTGAATTATAAGAAGAACTGGAAATGCAAGGTGTGTTTCACAGAAATCTGAAATCCATGTGGCTTTTCTTCAGCGATCTGTTGTTCTCCCTGTTAAAACCCACCAGATATACTACGGATGGGGTGAAATTCTCTTTTCTGCCGTGCTGTGACAAAGCTGCTGGAGCAGAACCATTGGCACGTGTGACATTGATCCATGTCCTCGTCCCTCGCCACCTCCCGCGTGCCCGTCCCCAGCAGCGCTCACCTTCTCCCACTCGCGCTCGTTGTTCAGCACGATCACCACCAGCCTGGGGTGGGCCTGGTAACCATCGGCCGTGAAGGACAAATCTCTGCCTTCCCAAGTCACATTCATCATAAACCTGGAAGGCAAGGAAGGAAAGTTCATCGAAAAATTAATGGGCTGTCCAGCAGTTAATGAGCAGCGAGTTCAGTCACCAGAAGCACTGATTAAATACATGCACCAAATCCTGCCTGGGCTGTGGAAAGCAGCATGGGGAGCATTTCGAGGCAGTTCATAGCTCAAGACAAAGCAAAATATTGTTTATGTAGGAATTATAATGCAGACATCATTTTTAACAGCTTCCACATTATGTATGACCTCCACACTCCATGAATAATCTTCCTGGCACWTTGCACAACCTCACCAGCTTTTCAGGAGCATTTCAAACAAATCTCCATCACCTCTGTAGGTAACATTACACTATTGTGTCCCTGAGGAATGCTCAGAGCAAAGTGYATCTGCTCTGTCTTCCCCTGCTCGGACCTCCAAGAGTCCCCACACTGTAGCTACACACAGTTGTTGTGACACGTGGATAAATTATAAATTCCACTAATGCCAAAACCAGACATGAAAACTTTGGAGGGGTTGGTAAATATTTCAGTTCAGTAATTTCAAAAGAAAAAAGGATTTACATTCTAAACTTTTTTTCGTATTTAGATTGATTTTCAATGGTTTTCAAAATACATATAAATTAATTAGCATTTTGAATAGGAAAAAAAAAAAATGGAAGGACCAGAATAAAATGTGAAAGAAGGAGACCTTTAAAATTTTGTTGAAAAAAATCAAATCTTCACAATGTTAGCATGAGCCTGACAGGGCTATCCCACAGGTGAGAGATAAAACTGCAATTCAAAATCTTGGGCATGTCTGTGGTCTGAAGTTACTCCCATTGAATTGCACTGAATTCTCAGTGTATTTAATTGAAAGAAATTCAGCTCAAGACTGATGCAGACAGCAGTGCAGATGTCCATGCCACAGAGAGATGTGTTCTTAAGGGCATTTACTATTCTTCATACATTCATTAGTGGTAATGTTTTACCCCAAGAAACTGATTCTGTTTTGCATGTTTGTATGTGTTTGGAGGTTTGTTTTTTCTTTGTTAGTTGGTTTCTTGTTATGGCTGGCTTTTTTAGCAGTAGTGGTAGCATGATCTCCTGGGGAATGTGATAGAGACAAAATTCCTCAGCTCCAGATTCAGAGGAGAAGGTTTTGTACGGACATAGCTGCCTCAAAATCCCAGCAGCAGAAGCACACTAAATAAACATATATAGACCCAGAAGAAATAATGGCATTGTATCACAATAGTTAATAATTAAATGTGCACTACCCTGAACAGCCATACTAACATCATTCAGCRCCGCTCTGACAGCAATTTGTAAATTCACCATCATAATAACTCATAGTTCATGACAGACTTCCAGTGTGAAAATTTTCCCCTTGACAGAACTTTGCTGTTCAGTTGAACTGATTTCCCGTATATTCCAYTTTTCATCCAACACTGAAAGATCTTGCTTGGGAACAAAAAGCTCGTTTGCCACCTCGAGAGGCAGCAAAGCCCCAAATAGGATTTACTTGTGCACACATGTAAGAAACCAGCACAACGCTCACTCAGAGCTGAAAACCACTGTGAGCCAGCGAGTGAAATGCCCGGGGAGTGAGCAAGGGGAAATCAAGGGTGTGCTGTGAAAACACGCAGTGCCTTTATTTGCACTTCTGCACCCTCTCTGAGAGACTGAGCTAACACCCCTCATAACAAACACATCACCTCATTCCACCACAGCTGAAAGCCRAGATTCTGTCCCCTCCTCAGGGCTGGACCCCAAACACACACCCCGTACCACAGCACACTTTGGGGCTCACTGGGGTTTGTAACCACACAGAAAATGGTGATTGGACTTGAGCTGAACTCATCTTTAATGAGTTTGAAAGGATTGCCACCACAGATTTCAAACACAACTCATCATATTTTGGGATTAATATGCAAATATCYTCGCCTAGAAGCTAGTCAAGGGCCATCACAAGATGCAGTGCTGATGCTCAAGTGTTCCAAAAAAACTAATATGAACACAACCCTAAAGAGAAAAATTTAACTCAGTGTATATTTTAAAMTTATATTAATTAACCAGTCATTTAGTAAAAAAACACATTTGGCGGGGTTCTTTTTTTTAAAAAAAAAGAAGTCCCTAATCTGAAAAGTCTCTTAAAATTGTATTCTCTGATCTGGACACAAAGGTATCCATCAGTGACGCACTCTGAGTTACCCCACATTCTCACATTGCAGCAATAAAAAAGAACTTCAAAGAGATTCTTGTTTTCCTAACCACATTCTTCTGTACRAAATTCATCAGCTGCCCATGTTCCTCAGAAATCAATGCCTACAACCCACACTCGCTTTTGAATTGTCATTTTTCCTCTGCAAAGGACAAAAATCCTGCTCTGCTTTTATTGGCCACGATCCCAAACTGCTTGTCCCACAAAAAATAACCAAGTGCTTTTCTGTTCCTGCTTTGGAAGTGAGCAATAGTATTTATTTTATGTTATTCTTACAGAGTTTTAAGTTTATCCAAGAYTAATTTTGTGCAAAAGGTCTTTGGTTTCTGAACTGGATAAAATATATTTCTGAAGTAGCTTTGAAATTGCATATTCCTGTTCTTAACTAAATAAGGTGTTTAGTTATTTGAACTCGTTACTTTAAGGGGGCAAATAACAGCACACCTTGGATTTGCAGTTAATCTGTTTTGATTCCTCATTAATGCCACAGCCTTTGCAAAGACATGACAGCACAAGGCCTTGTGATGGTATTATGACACTGAAGTYTTAATTAACTTTTGCAAACTAAAATTTTTAAGATTCCCCAGGTGATAYACATATCAAAACGGGTGTTTTTCCCTGACGGAAATTAAGCTATTCTCACACTGAATCCAAAACAGGTTTTTTATCATGCAAAGAACCAAACCTTTACTATATATTTAAAAACACTTTTAAACATTTATACAATTCTTTTTTGCTTGTCACCTTCCCCAAAAAAACTGTTTAACACTGGAGCAGATAATTTTTGCTGTCGTATTTACAGCAAACCTTTGAAGCACCTAGGTTAAAAACTTCTCTCAGGGTTTCTAACTTTATTTTTTTAAGACTCAGAAAGATCAAGTAGTYCACACAGAGCTTCAGATTAATGCCAAAACTGCAATATTTATCCCTGTCAAAATTCTGACTTTATCCAGAAAGGCAGAACATATTGAAAAAGCTGGGTTTTCTTACCCTGTCAYTACTATATCACAACTCCATTGACTCTAATTTCCATTAGTGAATGGGTGAAGACTTTGCCAAAGGGATCAGAGCTCAGTTTTCAGAAGACCATTAAYTTGGATATAACATTGCTGACACAGAGGCACTTTTCTGGCCAGACTCCTTACAGGAGAARTGGACTTCTGTGCTCGTGAGATATTTGTTAAGGATTTCCTGTCCTGTGTGAAAACAGTCGAAATCCTGGAGCAGAATCTTTGAGGTTTTCTACTTCTATGCTACACAAAGCAAATGTTTTCAGGTTATGCATTTTTTTTTAGGTTTACCATATATATGTCCATGCAAGATACACAAGTGGGCTCCTAACAGATGCAAGGATTTGAGTTCAAAGGCAAGAAGGCTTAGTAGATTCTGTGTTGGGCATTATTTTAAGAGAAAAACACAACATTATGTAAATTTTTATATAAAGGTCACTTTGTTTCAAACAAAGCCCTGGTTTCAAAAGTTTCTCAGGGTGATGTGAGGATAGAATGGAAGTGCAGCCCTGCAAGCAGAGCAATCCCTGACACAGCAGCTGATGGGATGTTACCTGTGGATGCAATGGTCACCAGGCAGCAGCACCCTCCACGAGCTCTGTCTGGGTGCCAGGGAGGAGCATCCTCACAACAATTGGTGTCCTCAGCATGGGCACCCTCCTGCCCACCCACCTGTATCCCTCAAGACCCTCCAGGAATGGTTGGGCTCAGAACCACAGTCAGCTCTGCAATACCAGGCTGGTTTGTGATTAGTGAGAAATCCACCCAGAATGCAGCTCCCAAACACATCAGCAGCTGGGAAAAACCGAATGGTTCAGGCAGAGGCATTAATGTGTCACTCCTACGCCACCTCCTAAGGAGAGAACTTAGTCCCATGACCTGTAAGACAAAGCACTGGGCCTGATAGCTGCAGGGAGCAGAAAGACCAAGGGACTCCACACTGCCAGGAGTTCAGACCTACACTTCCTGCCCTCAGATGAGATAATCAAACTTGATAAACTCCCCAGGTGCTATCACCAGGGGCTATCATTTTTTATTCAGTGTCTTCTTCACCATGGGMCAGTGTTTCAAATCTCTGACAACTGCAGGCAATGAGGAGAAGCAGCAGAGACCTGGGGAAATACATGTTGCATAAGAAAAACTCTCCCTCTTCTCTCTCAAAGAAGAAATTTCCAAACTGAGATTTGAAGCAGATAAATGTCTCAAAACCCAACATGTTATCTGGTGATATTTCTCTTTCCTGCAAATAGTGTAAAACCAACCAGTTTAATAATCTAGACAGCCAGCCTGTCTGGGCTGGCATTCACTCAGCCTCATACCTAAAAAAGCAGGAGGGAATCCAAATTTTCTCTTTCCTTCTCTATCTTGTGGAGGCTCTGAACTGCTGAACTTCCTTACGATGATTCAACCATGACATTTGAATGATACTTATCAGGAGAAACCCCAAGACACATTATTTATCATTAAGAAACAGATGTCCTCTGCAAAATTAAATCAAGAAAAGCTTCATGTAGTATATATACTGTGTGAAGTACATACAGAAATAAGTCTGAAACAGAACATTACTAAACAAGGTACTGATACACTTTTTTAAAGTCAATTCTGTACCTTAGGCTATGTGGGATTTTTTTTCTAAATTCAAACCCTTTGCAGTGATGCAGAGTCTCTTCCTCCTCTTTGTGCATCCTCGTCCTCCTCCCTTCCCAGCCCTTGCTCCTCCACAAGGGTACCTTGCTTTGGAGCTGTGTCTCCCTAGGCCTTGAGCCAGCATGGATGAGTAAAACTTCGGGAGCAATCTGCTCAGTGACTGTGAAAAAGGGAAGGCATGCCAGCTTCTGGTGCCTCCTGCCAGCTGCTCCTTAAAGCATTAACTGCCACTGGCTCTGCAAAAGTCATTTTGCCCCAATGCTGCCAGACAAGGAACAAAACTCTTGGGGAGCCCTGCTGAAAGGGGSACAAAGGGAGGGAGCAGAGTTAGAAAGGGCTCAACTCCCTGGGATGTGCCACAGATGGGTGTAACTAAACACCAAAATGTTCAGCAAGTTAATGTTATTATCAGCACCAACATTCAAAAAAAAAGCCCTAATTTGATTACGGATTGCTGCTCCACCTCAGAAGCACCCCAAACTCTGCCCCATGGTACGTGACGGGATTCCTGCAAGGGGATGGTGCCTGTAGCAATTCCATTTCCAAGAATGCTCACACAGTGATTTTKGAGCCCTGCTTTCAGCCCTGAAGRCTGKMTCTGCTCAACRCTGAGGCCATGCTTGTCCTCTTGTTTCAAATTATTGTCATTATCACAATAACAAGGTAATGTTCTCACCCAGCAACTGGTACTTTCTGCCTCCTAAACTAACCTAGACTGGCAGAAAATCCTGAAACAGATTTTCAATCATTTCTTGAATCACTTTGTCAGTAAACCAGCACCATTCTGGGGTCTCTCAGGCAGTGTTTCCCTACACTGTAAAGTTCAGTTTTACTTTTGGATTCATACATAACTAGTTACATATTTATACACCTTCAATCATCCARTAAAGAAGATGATACCTATCATTCCTCAGTCTTCTGACTTAAATGAACAAATCCTTTATAAATTGGATGTTGATGTGTATGCAGGAAAAGATTAAACAGATTTGCTGGATTATTCATCAAACCATTGTGTCCATTTAATCCTGGATTTTGTTCAAAAGAGGCAAATTTATCTGTCATGCTAAAAGCTGGAATCAAAATATTGAATTTGGTGAATGACTATCAGGACTAGAGGGACAGCAAACCCTCACCCTCTGAAGAAGGTGCTGTGCTGAAGGATRACAGCAGCACAACAAGGGGAGCTGAGCTTTTGTCCCTGGCCCTTTGGACTTCCCATTGCTCCTGCTCCCTGCTTCAGTGATGACAAATAAAGGAAATTGTGCTTGGGAAGGGTGGGGTACTTTCTGGTACTTTCTGGTACTTTCTGGACCTCACCTTCACTGCTGAAGGATGGGTCTCTGAGTCCTGCTATCACTTGGCTGTATTTCCAAACTGAGTCCATCTAAATGTCAGCACCACACGGCAAACACCAGACTGCCTATGGACAGACAGATCTTTTTGCTTATCAGAATGGCAACAGCATCACCATCCTCACCCATCACTGCAGGGATCAGCAGGGCTGGAAATGCTATAGTGAAATGATCTCCCAGTGTCATGGCTTTTATACACACCATGGCACTGCTGTAAACAAAGCTGCACCATTTCAATGCACAGAGCAGCAGCATTTYCCGTGATGACTGGCAGGGTTATCGTGTTTTCCTGTTTGTTTGCTTCGGTGTTTTCCTTTTTTCTGAGAGAATATGAGTTTGTTCAACTGACTTGGCATTAATGAGGTGCTAATTCTATTTATCCTGCTGTGCCAGTATTTCACACAATAGTGGTTTTCTGCCTTGGGAGATCTGGGCCTTACACAGATAGGAAAAGATGATCTGAATCAATACAGATACGCATATACATATATATCTTGGTTTTTAATGCATTGAAAATGAGCTCTGTATTTTATTACAAATCCTTTATTCATAGGGAAAAACTGGCTTTGCCATATGTATCAGAAATGAACATTGATCAGATCATTCCAAAAACTAAAGCAAACCTGATTTTCTTCTGGGTCTAGAAAGCCAATAAAAGCATCTTAGAATTGCAGTGACAAAGTAAAGATAAATTGTGTGCTTCAAAACAAATWTATCTTCAAACCAATTTAATAATGGAATTGAGAAAGAGGGAGGAGGAGCTTTTACTTCATGGCTTTCTTTAATTTCTTCAAAAACAGAGATAAAATTGCTATCTAGACATGGGAAGTCGCACATAAAGCATTACCAACATCCATTTACAAGCAAATTACCTATTATAGCCYAGCCTCAGAACACTATACTGGGTTTAAAGCCGAATTAGACCATCATTACAATAAATGGAGCCTAAAAATCCTGGGGTTTTTCTCTATTTTGAGCGTTGTTTTGCTCAGACATCCCCTTACCTCCCCTGGTTTCCACTGAGTTCTCTGCTTTTGAGCTTGCAAGCAGCATTCTCTTGTTCAACTCCACACCTCCAGCCCTGATTTCCAGGTGGACAGGGGGCACAGGACAGCAGATCCCAGATCCACAAGTTGTTTACAGTTACTTTACCCCTTTCCATCATGAACATGCTCCAAAATCCTTTCTTCAGGTTGTTTTTATAATATAGCACTTACACATTTATCTTGTAGTTTAGAATACAAAACTGCACTATCTGAAACTGCAAAGATTACACCTCACAATAAAACCCCAGTTTAGGCACTGATCATCATGTAAGGAAGAAATCTACGATTTAGTGATGAGGATGAGGGAGCACAGTGAATTTATGTAATTCACCTTGRCATGGAGAGACTGGTCAGCTCCCAGAGATTACTTAGTGCTGCTAAATGGTTGTATATACTCGCCTTTCTAGCAGATTATATGTGACAAGAATAGTCTTGGGGAGTTATTACATAAGAAAGACTATTTAAAGTTTTTTCATTTTAGYATAATTCTGACATTTTTCTAAATTAAAAACAGCCTGCTTCTTATTCTTGTGGTGTTGGAGAAACATAAAGGATCTCCAGCACAGAAAATGTATTCTTGATAGCTCAGTGTTTCACATCAGGAAGTGACTTTTTTAACCACAGTGCACGAGAGCTTCTCCTATTAATAATTCCTGGGTGCATCATGCACTGCACACTGCAGAATCTCCTGGWGAAGTCTAATCTCACTGCCCTAGCACTCACAAGAGCTGTTCTTGTAGTCATKCAGATTTAATGAGAAAATAAAGATTGTTTAAAGAAATATGTCTTATGCTGAGTACTAAATACTTACTCAAGCCTGCACTAGTGCCCTACCCAAAAAATCGTGTAGGAGCCTTTTCCAAAACAGGTTCAAGTTTCTGTGCCCCTTCCAAATGAGCCACAGTGTTTTCAACCCCAACCCTTGTGACAGAATACAACWGAACTTTCACAGAAACTGGAGTTCAGTTATTAACAATGGACTCCTTTGTTTGCAGGCCAGGTCCCAGTGTTAAAGCACAGAATTTGGTTATGGGGATGCTTTCCCTGCACCCTGGCACGGTAATCACAGGCATTAAGAAGCATCCTGGAGATCCCACGCTGGCTGCAGGTGGGGCAGCTGCTCTGCCCTAACACCAGGGACACCACATGGCTTTCCCAGAGCCCTGCTGGGCCACAGAGCCCCTCTCAGGGGCAAACGGGGCAACAGGAGAAGAATCACAGATTTTCTGCAATGCCTCCAGGGAATTTGTAGTTTTAGAGGCAGAGGGTTACAAATGGGAAAGGGAACACAAAAAACCCTGCAAGTGTCACACTAAAGGCAAGTTCTCTCAAAGGATAACTCTACAAATGTTTATAAAATACATGTCTGAATGTTAAAATCCATTTACTTGTCAGATTTTGGCTCTTAAGAAAGCTTCTGAAGAGTGCTGTGTGCAAAGATGCTGTTTTCATGGAAAACAACTGTTYCAGGACATCATGTGGTAATCAACTCCTAATCTAAATATGCACATACATATCAAGATTAAAACTGTTCAAAAATCTCCTATCAGAAAAGCACCAACTTTTCTTCCTGTGCCAATTCCATCCTGCTTTTCTGTAGAAAGCGCTTCATCTGCACTATTTGGTCAGAAAAAATGTCATAAATATTGCTCAGTAGCTTCCATATTGTCAAGAGCTATTTAAAAATATGCAAGATACTCCACTTCCTCTCAGAGACCAGATAAAGAATTATATTACTRTGCAACATTTTGGATAGAAGTAATCAGGATTATCATGCCTAAAAGGGATAATTAAAAGGAAAATAATAAAAAAAGAATCCTGATTTAAACCTTGGCAGTTTCCATCKGACAAACTGTTTAGAGAAAACATCTATATCAGCTTGGATTAAAGCAGATTAATTTTTACTGTTATTCTAGTAGAGGYGACAAAAAATAAACCCTCACAAAGCAGAAGGGACAGATTTCAGTTCTTATGTGATAAAAGCTGCCTAACTAATCTAATACTTCTGTAATTTYCAGGGACACCTCTTTAATGTTGCACATTGCTTGTCTTCTAAAATATTACCAGGTTCCTGCTGATGCAAGTGATACAGGCACAGCCTCCAGAGCGTTTTGGCAATTTTACCTCATAGTTAAAGCACACAATAGTCCAATTTTGTTAACTCAGCTTCATAGCCTCTAAGACCAATTTCTGTCATCTTCTACATGCGATTCAGAGCAGTGTTTATTGTGCACAGCACACATCATCTCCAGGAGCACAGTGAGCAGTGCACAAGTTCTCCTGCACATTCTCCTGGAACATCTGAAAGCCGCTCCTTAAAAAGGGCACACGGGATCAGCAAAAAACAATATTCTCCTTCAAAAAACATACAGTGGCAATAGAACAGAAAACTACCAAGGCTATGTAGGTGAAAACAACTCAGCAATTATCCTTACTTGTGCAAGGTTTGAGTGGGCCGGTCGTTCTTCTCCAGTTGYCCATAGCAGCTCGTTCTTGCCTCAGGAATGAAGGAGTATTTTTCCAGCATGGCCGATGCAGCAGTGGCAATAACCCCAAGGCCATCCCGTACCCGAGCCTCTAAACTGTAGTCCCACTCATCATAAGCTGCTGAAATGAGTCCTGAAGGAAACTCCTTGGGAGTGATTTCTGTGTTACCACTAACCAGGCTGGGAACTATCCAAAAGAAATCATAGCCAGTGAGGCCCAGGGACCGAGCCTCATCCAGGATGTAGACAGCTTCRTCCTTGGAGCAATACAGCAGGATGACAGATGAATGGATTTTCTTCAGCTGAATTTGGGTCTTGGCATCTCCAAAGGCAGTATCGAGTATGATGACATTCTGCATGTCCCAGCCCACAAAACTGTTTTCCACRGTGGTCTTAATGACATTGATGAAATCTCGATATCCAGGGAAAGTGGTGGTCACCAGAGAGAACACGTGCCAGTCATAATCCTGCATGATCTTCAGCATGATGATGGCTTCTTGCTGGATGGAAGCCCCAAACTGGAAGAACGTGGACATGACATCCTAGAATACCAAACACAGATAAAGTTTAATAATTTGGTCCAACTCTACAGGGAACAGAATCTCTAATACTTCTGCTTTCTTTGTTCTACCAGAGCTACCAAATTGCAATTGCATTTCAGTAACTTTCTGTGGTTTATCATTTTCAGATCACCAGTAAGCAACACTGATCATAGGAACTATAGCTAATTAAAATATTTGCCAAAAAATGACAAACCAATATTTACACAGGAAATTTCTGAGTACTTGATCACTTGAAGAAAGCAACTCAAATCAGTTCTACTGAGGAAGCTCCCTAGGGACAGCCACCCACAGTTAAACTACTTTTCCAGCAGGAAGTTTTACATTCCTGTAAATGTAGGAATGCAACCCAACAAATTCAGACCAGTTCTTAGTTACAATGGAATAAACTGCAATGCACATGCTGCAAACATGTATGAAGGAGCTCTATACTTCCAGACATAATGTCTGAGGGGGGCTTCATTCCCAAGGTTCACCAGACTTGGTGGAAGCTTTCAGGCTCTGCTGAAGTAGATTTTCTGTCCCCAGGGACTGAGTTCAGTACTGGTCCTGCTCCATTCAGAGCACATGGGCCATTGATGCCTGATGGAGAATTAACAGGATGGGACTCTGAGGACAGCCAGCAATCTGTCTGTGTCCTCATTAAAGGACTTGAATGGAAATAACTTCCAACAATGGCCCTAAAGTCTGTAAATGCTCCGAAATGTTGCCCAGCACAGATTTGTTTCTAATATTTCTCTTACGATTTACAGTATTCTGAACGTTTTATATATCATAAGGGCAGGTGCTGCTTATTTTAACAACATTATCAGAAATAGGCAGCACAATTCATTTTGTTGGCCCTAAATATACAAACACTTTCAGTGGTCTATTTTTACTAAGTTGCTGTAAGATCTAAATTTACTTTTGAATTTTACAGTCTTTATTTACATACAAATTGGAGTGCCAAAACTGTACGTGAGAAGCTGTAAAATTCTTTATTTTTATTTTACCTCACTATTTGTTCCTGACCAGTAGTGGCAACTTATCTGCATCACTTTTCAGATACAGAAAGAATGAACTCCTGGTGAAACAAAAGCTTATGATTTAAAAATAAGATATGAATCATTCAAGATTTCTTATGCAGGCTTCTGTARAAAGACACATATGTTGTATTTAATTTAAAGAGTTTTATGAACATGGTCATGAAGTGCTGTCCTGTTTTACACTTGCAGGGAAGGGAAGCAGATTAATTGATTTGGGTTTCATGGCAGGCTGGTGTTAAACATAAAAATATTAGTGAGAATGATAACTCAGCTCTGCAAGCTCTGCAAATCTATTCCAGGAAAACAGTCTGTACATTTTTTAATAGAAGATGAGGAGTGTTATTACTTTCCAAGTGTTAAGAAGCTGACACCAGGATTTTATATAGCTTGACAGCAATAAAAGTCTTACAACTTGTGTCAGACCCTGAAGACTGATACTGAAGGTATAAAATACACATTGCTGGTGGTAATGAAATCATCTGCCATGGCTTCTTTGGTACCTCAGAGTACACATTCTGAATGCCAGAGATAGATTTGAAGTGGTTTTGGGTTAATTACAAATGTTATAAAGGATGTTTTGGAGAAGAATTGACTAAGGAAGATTTTATTGCTGAATTCTTCAAGGAGCTATTTCCTGGTAACCTGCCCTGGATACCTAAAAACAAGCAAACAAACTTTTCATATGGGGGCATTCACAGCTAAAGGAACCCAGCACACAGAAAAGCTGCTCAGAGTCAGCATTCAATGATTTAATTACTGATTTACTATTACAAAGCAAAGTAGATATCCAGAGACAGTGTCATGAATCCAACTTTGCTGCAGCTTCCTAACTGAAAACAAGAAGTATTGTAATGCAAAGCCAATAGCTTCAGTTTTCTTCTCCAACTCTTATCTTGGTTTCTATTTATGAYTTATGCTAAATTGCAGTAGAAAGTAGAATAATTTACAGTAGATTAAGTAGATTATATCCATCATATCCTTTCACTCTCCCCCATTTTTATGTGTTTTATGTCTACTAATGCAGTGGAATAATTCTTTCAAACAATGCATACTCCTTGGTCCTTTGTGCATCACAAGGAACTTCTCCGAAGAGGCAACTGAAGATGAAGTATTTAAGGGCAAAAAACCATCATGTGGACATTTTCAAGTGTGACCTTTCTAACTAGTAAATACAGAATTTTAACCTACAGCAGTCCTTGGCATCTTCCCTGGAAATTAACAACAGTCTTGAGCACTATGCCCTGTGTCACAATTGCAGCAGGCTGRCAACTAAAGAGAAGTAATAAAAATAAATCCTCTCCATTTGTAAATATTATSCTAGAAAAGTTGTTTATGAAAGGAGTTTTGATTAGACATTTTTGTAAAGGTCACAACCACATTACAAGTATCTTTTTCTTATAACTGTGAATGCAAAGTCTGGTCTAAATCAGGCAATCATGATCAATTGGTGATCAGAATGATTAAAAATTGCATTGTAATTATGCAATGAAAAGATGTTTGGGYTCAGGAAAAATGGAGATAAGGATATCACAAGTGAGATTCTCATCTGAAAAAATTCCGTGTAACTGCACTGGACGCTTTTATGGAGCTGAAAACCCGACTGTGTGTGTTTACAATGAGTTTGAAACAGATGGAAGATTACAAGCAAACTGCAGCCCTAGGAACTTCAGCAGATATTTAAATGCCTATAAGGAGAATATTCAAGGACATATCCATTAAACTGGGGAAGGGAGAAGAAATAGCAAATATATAAATAAAACTGTAACAAATTCAGCTATTTTATTCTCAAATATCTACAGAGCTTTTCATTTTGGGGGCTTAAAGCTTCACATCCTCTTTGAAAAGCATTATTATTCCACTGCTTTATACAGACATAAATTCCATATGTGTAACAAAATACTAAGTTCCAATTTTCAATATTCAAATGCAAACTAGAGTGCTGTTTGTAAAAACCAAAAATTATTCCGTTATTTTCATTTAACTGTCATCTTGTCATGTATTGTGACAGCCATCTAAATCATTGCTGAAGTAGGAATACAGATGTAATATCAGAGGTACTTTAAATGCACACCAGAAATAAGATTTCTTTTCTTTCCTCAATGTCCCCAGCTATTGAGATTACTGATGGAGGCTGCAAGGAAGTGGTACAATTTATCCAGGGCAAGAAAACTTCTACAGAGGAATTCCTCAGATAAATCAAAGCATGAMAATCCCAAGATGTTACACTTGATATGAGTAAAAATTTACTTAGAAGAAGTTGTTTTCTCTTCCAGCTTCTCAGCTAAATTCCACCACAGCCATGTGAACAAAAAAACAGCAATGAAAAGAGAAGGTAAAGAGAAAAATGAAAACTTTTTTTTTTTGTCTTGCATATGAACACAGAGTTTACAGTGAAACATCTGCCCATATGTTTCACACCAGAAGGAAGTAATCTCTCAATTGCCTCTTGCTTAACACCATTCCTGAATTTTGTACACGACACCAAGTTCTGTCATTGCAGGAGAAGGGCACTTCAACATTCCCAYGCTTGTGCACAAAACAGCTCTCCCTGCTGCTGTCATTTCACAGATTAATATATCGGAGCAAGTTGCTTTTTAATTAGTGTACCGAGTCTATAAATCTGTCACTGTTGTCAGAATTGCACATTTCACTTTCCTGGTTCCAGCAAATTACAGGAATATTTCTCTAGAAACCTCGTCCTCAGTTATTTTCATGACATCTCAGTTTCCCAGCTCTGGCTTTTCCACGAGCTCAGCAGGGTCCACTCAGAGCTGTAACAGCTGAGGTGTGCCCTGGTGGCTCTTGGTGCTGCCAGGGAAAAGRCTGCACTGGTTGGTCACTTAGAGAAAGAAACATTTGTTATCTAAACCACTGTACCTTTCATTAAATGAAAATTAAACACTAAACCAGAACAAAACTGGGGTCAATGCAAGACAAATCCATTTTCCATTCCATAGCGAGGGACAGTCGTTTCACTGGTAAGACAATATTATGACAGGAAGCAAAAACCARTATGAAAGAGAATTTAAAAAGCAATCCAGAGGATTATTTTATTCAGCTAGCAACAAGATTAGTATGACAGGACTACAAGTAGGACTTTAAAGYTATCTTAATTGCTTCGTTTTCACTCTCTTTCACAAAGATCCAGCAAAAAACATTTTTCTCTGATTTTATACCACTGTAAATTAGACATTTCCTTCTCATAAAGACTTAAGGGATGTGGTGCCAGGTCTCCATACACAGTGCAAGCTGTTCCCTGTTCAATGAAATATAGCAGTTATTTGTCATTTTTATAAAGACTGAGAAAAATGAAAGCCAGAGGTTAGTCACGAATTCAATTGAATAATTCAGCATCACATCARAAATATACTGAATAAAATTATTTGTGCTGATCTCAAACGTAGATTAAAAAAAAATGCATCTCTCAGGGTGTTAACTTGATACCATTTTTCTTGGATTACTTGACGTGATGCACTGGTCCCCTGGTAAACAGGCAGAGAATTGCATTTCTCTGCCATGAATATCCAAGTTCCATTCACAGGGTTTTCCTTTGTGGAAGGGCACAGATCCACGCCAGACTTTTAGTAAATGTAAGCACTGAAGTGAAAGAGCTGAAAGGCAAACCTTTCCTCCAAGACACCCTGCATATTTTTGAATTCTTAAGTTATTGAATTCCGCCTCTCTTCATTAAGAGATAGAACACGCAATTCCCAACACAAACAKCTCACTGAGGTGCCCAGGGAGAAAACTCCCCCATTATCACCATGGGAGCAATTTGGGGGAGATTATACAAAATTTCGTACTTTCATACRAAGTGTAGCAACATGTGAGGGTGGAAGTAATTTACTCATTCTTACAAAAAACAGAAAATATTTGCTTCCCAAGGATCTGTCACCACTCTGGCCTCACACATGGTAAAACCAGAGGAAGCAAAAGGGCGGAAATTTTCTTATTCTG